AGACCTCTCACGCCGCCTTTTTGCATTTCCAGTCCTACATCTGGGTTGGGGCAATCCCAAGCACAAATACAGGCTCGGCGGGGAATGGATCAAGTGCAGCCCTGAGGAGAAGGACCTGAGGGTGCTGACTGACGAGAAGCTCAACATGAGCCGGCAATGTGCAATCGCAACCATATCCTGGGCTGCATCAGAAGAAGTGTGGCCAGCAGGTCGGGGAAGTGATTCTGCCCCTCTACTCCACTCTCGTGAGACCCCACCCGGAGTACTGCCTCCAGCTCTGGAGGCCCCAACATAAGAAAGAGATGGGCCTGTTGGAGTGGGTCCAGAGGAGGGCCACGAAGATGGTCCGAGGGCTGGAGCACTTCTCCTAAGAGGAAAGGCTGAGAGAGTTGGGGTTGTTCAGCCTGGAGAAGAGAAGGCTGTCTGGGGAGACATTAAAGCAGCCTTCCAGTACTAAAAGAGGGCCTACATGAAAGATGGAGAGGAACTTCTTATCAGGGAGTGGAGTGATAGGACAAGAGGTAATAGTTTTAAACTGAAAAAGGATAGATTTAGACTAGATATTAGGAAGAAATTCTAACCCTGGGGGTTAGGCAGGCCCAAGGGGTGCGTCGACTAACTCTGCCTCCAGGAAGGCTCTGCCTTGGGAAAAATGCACCACAAGCTGGAGTAGGAGGAGGACACTGCGTGCATTCCACAAGTAGAGAAGCCCAAGCTTTTCCAAGTACGGCACCAAGGCAAGCAGGAGAAGGTTGGACTCTCCCTCAAGAGTGCCCTGGAGCCTGGACGTGGCTGGATGAGCTGGAGGGGCACATTGCCCGGCACCCGGACACCCTTCTGCTTGCTGCAGGCAGAGCCCCACCCCCCACGATTGCACAGTGCCAGAAACCAGTCCAGAAAGCTGACAAGTCCTCCTTTTTGTCCCCGCGCCAGGGTGCCAGCAGCTTCCCTCTGCTCCGACAAAGGAGGAGCGCCAAGAGCAGCCCAGTCAAAAGCTACTCTGCTTCCTTGCCCCCCCCCCAGTCCCCACAATTCCCATCCCTTCCTCGGCTCAAAACCGCATCCTTTTGCAGCAAGCCCTCCCACCTGCTTACCCGTAAGCCAGGCTGGGCAGAGAGGTGGGACGCCCTGCTAACTCTCCCCGGCCCGACCACCGCTGAGTCCCTCCCAGCTCCCCGCGCACATCCTAAGGCCCCAGACTAGCCCTGCATGTCCCAGGCTCCCGGGCTGAGCCCTCTCCATCGGCCCGTTGCTCACCTCTCCCCGCTTCCCCACCGCGCTCTGCAGTGCGTCCACGTTTCGGATGCCAGCAGTGAGGTGGTGCTCCATGGCTCCTTCCAAGAGCTATTCTGGAACTGCGACCCTGCGCTGGCACCTCTCGCTCCAGAGGCACTCAGCTGTGGCCACCACAGCCAGTCTCCCAGCGCGTGGTTATATAGAGCAATCGCACATTGTTGCATCGTCACGTTGCCGCGACATCGCACTGTTGCATCATCGTGTTGCCTCGCCGCCACCCGGCTGCTGCCTGGTCGCCCTGGGGCCCGCCTGGAGGCCCTTCTGGACACGCATGCGGGCCACCCCCTCCCGCTGACCCCGCTCTCGGCAAGGACAAGAGGCAATAGGAACAAACTGAAACATGGGAAATTCTGACTGAGCCTAAGGAAAACCTTCTTTACTTTGTGGGTGACAGAGCACTGGAACTGGCTGCCCAGAGATGTTGTGGAGTCTCCTTCTCTGGAGATATTTAAAACCCGCCTGGATGCAATCCTGTGCAACCTGCTTTAGGTGAATCTGCTTTCGCAGGGGGGTTGGACTAGATGATCTTCATAGGTCCCTTCCAACCCCTTACCATGCTGTGTGATTCTGTGAGAAGAGACACACAAGGAAGAAACCAAAACCATCAAAGAGGAAATTAATATCCTTCTTCAGCGGGGGGCTGCTCTACAAAAACAGGTGACTGAAAGAGCAATAGCTACTCTAGTCATCAAACAGGTGGTCTCTCCCCTTCCTGCTTTTCCATTGCAGAGCAGGCTAATGGGGTAATCATAGAATCGTAGAATGGTCTAGGTTGGAAGAGACCTTAAAGACCATCTAGTTCCAACTCCTCTGCCGTGGGCAGGGACACCTCCCAGTAGACCAGGTTGCTCAAAGCCCCATCCAGCCTGGGCTTGAACACTTTCAGGGATGGGGCCTCAACAACTTCTCTGTTAATTCCTCTGGCTGCCATCATACTGTGGTCTCCATTTCAGATGGTCTGAAGGAGACTTACTGGTCAGCTGAACCTCAGCTGCTGCCCTGGACAGTTGGGCTAGTCCTTTTGCCTGTTTGCCAGCAATCATCAGAATGGATTTCTGCTGATCTTGTTTTTAAAGGTGTTTTTTCAGATGAACACGGGGACCCACTTAGATTTTTAAACAAGTTGGCTGTATCCATTGTGAATCTGGTGCTTGCACGACAGGGTGAAATTTAAAGTTGTTCTTTCCCTTTCTTCACAGTGTGTGATATGGCTGACAGTGACAAGCTGTAGTCCTTGATTGCTTTGTTATGTTTTACTTGAGGTGGAAGAGTTGACATCTCAGCTAGCAGTCTCTGGAGAGTCCCTAAAGAGGGAGGCTATGACTCTACATCAAGAGGTGGTGTCTTTGGGAAGGAAACTCAAGAACACTGAGAAGCAAAGAAAGGATGTCCTGGTGAAGCTGGCAGATGCCATAAAGAGCCATTTCTTACACATTTTTTGGCCTTCTATTAATAAATTATAGAATTATAGAATGGTTTAGGTTGGAAGGACCTTGAAAATCCCTTGAAAATTCCCACCCCCTTGTCATGGGCAGGAATACCTCCCACCAGACCAAGCTGCTCAAAGCCCCTTCCAGCCTGGCGTTGAACACCTCCAGGGATGGAGCCTCAACAGCCTCTCTGGGCAACCTGGGCACCAGTGCCTTACAACCCTCAAAGTAAAAAACTGAGAGACGATGGTGGCGCACGATGGCTGTGGGAAGAGCAGCCCGAAGGCGTGAGCCCTTGGCTGAGAGCTGGCTGACTCCTTGGCAGCCGCAGTGCTGGAGCCCAAAGCTGCTGTTGCGGCGGCAGAGACTCGGGAGCTGGGCTGAACCTCTGCAGCATGGCAGGGTCCCTGTCTTGTGCCCTTGGCGGGAAGGTGTTCTGTGTGGCTGTGGGCACTGGGGGGGCAGTTGTCCTGTTTGGGTTTGTCTCCGAGTCACAGTGGGGTTTTACGTTCCTGTTAATAAAAGCCATTTTGCACTGTTTTGGAACAACAAAGAGAGTGGTTGGTAAATGCGTGGGTGAGGGGAAGTTGGTGAGCGGCAGCCACGGCCCCGCTCCCCCCGGCTGCCTGGG